TTTACTATTTATTATTTTATAATTATTTTTTAAATAAGATGAATATATATATATATATATAATTTTTATTAATAATAATTTTTATTTATTATAATATTACAATATTATTTAAATATTTTTATTTACTTTATTTTTTCATTTTTAGATATTTTACTTTTTTCAAATATTTTTAATGTAAATATGTTTTAATATTCAAAGTAAATGCTGCATTTATTTCAGCTATTGGCCACCTAGCATATATATATCTGCACTGGTATCATCCGTTGAAAAAAACAACAACATATTGGTCAGCCACTTAATGACCCCAAGCAGCACTTCTGTTGACGTGACTGACTGAGGAACATGCCGCCGGGGGTCCGGCAGATGGCCTGTCTGATGGGACGGGTGGGGGTTTCCTGGTATTGATCAGTCCCTCCCAGCCCCACCTGCTGGCCCTCGCTCCACAATGACCACACGCTCACAGAAACAAACACCAGCACCAGCGCGCACCGCTCAAAAGAGTGTTCGGGCGGGCCGTGATGTCATCAGTATGGAATGGAACCGCGTTCCAAGGCCGGACGGAAAGTTCCACGTCGTTAAAATGTAGCCTTTGGTTCCTATAATAGAGTCCGAGGATCTTGTGTGGCCTTGGCCTCTCATTTCCATAGAGTGCATGTTTGAGAACATCCTTACTCTAATGGCTGTGCTCCAAACCCTTGTCACCTTGGTAACCAGGTCAAAACCCTTTTCCGGGACAGATGGCTCCCCTCAGGGTCGTTTCTGTACTTAAGATGCCTGCAACCTGTCCACTATTAAAGCCCTCTGAAGTATATATTCAAGACTGTAGATGTTTTAAATCTCAGGAAAGTCTTTTGGAGGTCCAACACCTCATACTTAAAGAGCCGTTCTTATAGTGTGCGCCGCTTTAATCTGTCAAGTTGTGGATCTTCTCCGGAATCATGCTGATAATCATGTAGGATTTTTGGCTGGTGTCTTAAGTGTTTAATCAGATGCACCTCTCTGTCTACAGAGCTAAAGACCCCTGTAAGACGCTACTGAAGCTCTCAACCAGCTCCGCACAGACAGAGTGCGCCGGCGCCCCCTTGAGACTCATTCAATAGCTTGATGCTGCTTCATTACTGGTGCAAGTTTTTGGAATTACATAATATTTGCGTTTGAGAAGTAGACAGGAAACATGAAGCAGTGTGATATCATGTTATATTATATTGTATAATTATTTTATATCATATAATATTATTTATTTAGTTAGTTTATTACAGAAGAGGATTAGGGCAAAGCGATAATAAAAAAATAAAACCATTTTGAGATTAAAGTCATTATAATGCGAGATTAAACTCGTTAAATTTCGAGAAAAAAGTCCAAATAAAATGTTGAGAATAAACTCAATTAAATTACGAGAATAAAGTCGTGTTTAGGTATGTAGCGTTTGCTTTTGGGCCGTTGACATGAAACATGAAGCAGTGTGACATGCTGTAATTTATCATATCATATATTATATTGTATTATATTATATATTTAGTTTATTTATATTTATGAAATATTATTCATTTATTTTATTTATTTATTTATCTCGCCAGAAAAGTGTATCTGTGATTCCTCAGTAAATTGCATTTGGAAGAAATCAATACTTTTATTCATCAAAGAAGCATTAAATTGACCAAAATTAGAAATGTTTCTTGAGCAGCAAATCAGCATATTAGAATGATTTCTGAAGATCATGTGACACTGAAGACTGGAGTAATGATGCTGAAAATTCAGCTGCGCATCACAGAAATACATTGCATTTTAACAGATATTAACATAGAAAACAGATATTTTAAATTGTAAAAATATTAAACTTTTTTTTACTGTATTCTTTGATCAAATAAATGCAGACTTGTTGAGCATAAGAGATTAAAAAAAAAAACATTTAAATATCGTACCGACCCTAAACTTTTGAACGGTAGTCAAAAGTTTGCAAAGAAACACCATGTGCTGTCAAATATGAGCTTATGATCTGATCTGTGGTGTTTTTTCTTCCGTAGTATTCCGGGTTCCAGCAGACGGCAGAGAAATGCTTTGTGTGCGGTCACCTCATCATGGAGATGGTAAGAGACATTTGATGCTTTTGCTCTGTAACTACTGCTCTCATTTTTCAGAGGAGGAAGGTGAATTTAGAGGGAAGACTCTTAGTTGTAATTTAGTTTACCATTTTAAATAAATATGCAACCAAAAATGGATTATCAAAGCTGCATCATCTCTGTAATCTGTGTCTATTATTAGATACAGAAATTATGTTATTGTACCTCATTAGCTTTGCATTAGCCCACGGACTCTCACCTGTGTGTGCGTGTGCGTGTGTGCGTGTGCGTGCGTGCGTGTGTGTGCGTGCGTGCGTGTGTGCGTGTGTGTGTGCGTGCGTGTTGTAGATCCTGCAGGCTCTGGGTAAGTCGTATCATCCAGGCTGTTTCCGCTGTGTGGTTTGTAAGGAGGGTCTGGACGGTGTTCCTTTCACCGTGGATGTGGAGAACAACATCTACTGTGTGAAAGACTACCACACGTGAGTGACATCCTCGCATTCGCACCATTTTGTTACATATTTTGCATGCATAACCTGTTTAGTGCTGGTTTGGATGTGGACCCGCATAACCAAGATGTTTATGTTTTATTTATATAGGGTTTTTGCTCCTAAATGTGCCTCGTGTAACCAGCCCATCCTCCCAGTGCAGGTACGAGCTTTTGAATGTATTAGACTGAGTTGGATTGGTGTAATGCTGGAGGAACGTCCTGACAGAGGTTAACTAGCTGTGTTTGTGTTTGTAGGGTTCAGAGGAGACCATACGGGTGGTGTCCATGGACAAAGATTACCATGTGGAATGCTATCACTGTGAGGTAATTCAGTGGTTATTGCTCTGAACTAATGACTGAAGGTTGCAGGTTCAATCCCAGTCCTGTTGTGAAGCCACTTAACTAGTTTTAAATCCACATAACAACGTCCTAGATGCTGGTTCACTGTGATTCGCTCGCGTCTAACTATAGGGGTCATGTTTGCACTGCAGGATAATGCACTGGAGTTATGTAAGATGTTTTTTGTGTGTGTTAGGCATAAATGTGCATTAATATTGTGAATCATTGACTGATGACATTCCAGAGTGGGTCATTCAGCTAAACTTTGAGACTGTGAGTTAAAATGTTGACTTAAACACACGTACTAAAGCATATTTCTCAAAGAGAAAACCTCTTATTAAAGATGGAATCTCAAGTTATCTCAATTCTCAATTTCTTCAAGTGATCTTAGGCCCAAGTATTATTATTTAAAAATGTTAATATTTAATGTTTAATGCAAGATTCTTTTTATTATACTTTATTTTTTATATTTTTATTATATTTAAGTAATTTTCTGAATACCCTTTAGTCATATTAGTCCTCGAAAATGTGAAAAAGCTAAATATTAAAATTAAGTTAAAAATATAATATTTATTTTTATACATAATATTAATAATATATATATATATATTTCAGATATGTAGATTTTATTATAATTATTTATAATTGAATGTATTTTTATAAAAATTTATAATTTTATTATTTTTATTTTTATAACAAATAATATTATTTATATAACAATTGATCAGTTTTACATCGTTAATCTTGTTTTTTTACAAGAAAATATGCCAG